ATATATATATATATATATATATATTTGATGGATTATATTATACGAATCTGGAAACTTCTAGGAAATAAAATGTTAACAGCATCCTCCTTAACGGCATTACAAAAAAAAATCAAGAATAAATTCAAAAACATAACTTTGATACGTTGTCATTCTAAACTTCTCGCAAAACATGATTCCAATTAATTGATTCATGATATGATACAAAAACTTTTGTAACAAAGTAGTTTAGACTATAGAGTCATGGCCAGATTAGAAGAATACGCTCAAAAATCTATTTTTCTAATAAAACTTTAAACTTTAATACAAAAGAGCTGTACTTTACAACTCATAAATATACATTCACTTCCTATTCTGTCTCATTTATACATGAATTACTTTGTATTTCTTTCTTTTCTTTTATCACACTTATCACTTATTATTATTATTATTTCTTTGTTCTTATCTATCTTTTATTTCACCTTAATCCACCAATAAATATTTCATGAAAAATGTCAACAAGCTAGACAATTTTATTGAAAATCTCAATTTGGTGAATTTTACATCTCATTTAATAACTCTTGAATGAGTTATAAAACCCACTAAATTTTGTAATTTATAATAAATTTTGTTCAATAATAAAAAGTGTTATCACTGACATTTGATTTATTTACCAAGTTTATCTTGTACTATTGACTCCAAAAATCCAAATGGCTTTACTGAGAAGAAATATTGGAGATGCAATATAATATAAAGTTATTTTTGTATTTTCTTCGCTTATGATTATAGCCTACACACAAAAAAAAAAAAAAAAAAAAGACTGAGTTTAAAGTGTGTGTCACATAGCAGTGTGACCAAAATTAATGAAAATTTAAACAAAAAACAAAAAAAAATACAAAATTTGCTCTTTTTATAATGATAAAAACATTTTTAAGCTATATAGGTTTTAAAAAAATATACATGCAACCACACAAAAAAAAAAAAAAAAAAAAAAAAGACTTGTGTCCAATCCAAAAATACCTACACCAAACAAAAAAAGTTGAAAGAGTGGAAAAGTAAAAAATTAGGAGTGTTTCCAAGAACGAAGCAAGCAGCTTGGAAAAACTGGTGGCAGAGGATCCACCCAAATCCGAAGCCATGCCTTTCACTTCCCAAAACCTTACCCTCAATGCCTGCATCACTGTTGAGAAAGTAGCTTATGGTGGAGAGAGTTTGTGGCTATGGAATGGAGAGGTGTTGATTCATTGGAAGTGAGAGAGGTGGGTGATATTTGAAGGTTGTACTAAAGACATGATAAAATAGATCTCCATAAAAAATAGAAACAATTGCAATCAAGTTACAGCATGAGTAAGAAAATATATTAAGAGCTTGTAAGTTGAGAGAAAAAATATATATAGTATAGTTCCCAAAAATTTGAAAAAGAGAAAGCATTATCACACTTTCACCTGGGACGTACAAAACCTCAGGTCTCAGAACATGATCTCAGTAACTAAATAATTACATACATTCTTACAAACTGAAGCAGGCTTAAAATATAACCCCCCATCTCTCACCCCAACACACAAACAAGGACTAAATCAGAAACCATCAACTTCCACTCCCAACACCAAAGAAGGGAAAAAAACAAAAAGTTAATAAATATGTCCTTTTTGTGTTAAGAGATCAATCACTAAAATCAAAGCTTCCACTGTGAGAGCTGCTACCATTGTGACTATGCAAGGAGAGTCCTCTCAAGTGGCCAGCCAAAGTAGCACTATCCTTTCTATTTTCCAGAAAATATCTCTCCCTCTCAATGTGCTTTGAAGGCGGTGGTGGAATCGCCATGCGAGGAGGAATCACAGCAGGAGCAGGACATGTATTAGCTTCTCGAGATGGCTCCAAAGATATTGGTCTTATTAATGGACGGTTGAGTCTCTCTTCAAGCATTCCAAAGTGAGGAAACTCAGGTTCACTTTCTTCGTGTTCAGGTCTTGCACAAGCCTTTCCTTTGCGTAATCTGCCAGCCATTAGTTGTATAGAGATGAATGCATGTAACCAAAATCCAGTTTTATTCTTCATAAAGAAGTTATCAACTCACATTGACACTATATACCTAGTCTCAGTTGGATAAATCTTATAGCAAACACTTAATGGGAGAAGAAAATAAAGAAATAAAACGAATCAAGCTTCTCTCTTAAGTTAACATCAACCTATGCATCTTAACATTTGTAGAAGCTCTATGATCTAACTTCTCTAGAAAACTATTGTGCATAATCTGATTTTAACTTATATAAGATGTTTGATTCATTTACCCGATGTTCTGAAAACTAGACCAGTCATCCAATCGATGCTACCACCTGTTCAAGGTTCATGCTAGGATTCAATTGCAAGGTATAGGACTTGAGTCCCACATTGAAACTATGGGATTCTTGTGTGGAGTTTATAAGGCATTGGGGTCTCCAATTACAATAGCTAGCTTTTGTGGTGTGGTTCTCCTAAGGTTTTTATTGGTTCAATGGTCCTAATAGTGGTTGAACTAGTAATCGCTAAAAAGTAACATAATATTTATTTTATAACATGATCTTATGTTTATATTTTTAAGTATGTTTATATCAAGTTAAACCAAATATTACAGTGAACCAATATAGACAAAAATAAAAATAAAAAAGACATAAACCATAATAAGTTGTTACTATTTTAAATTTCATTATTGTATAATTTATTATATGACTTCTTATGGTTTGTTATTGTTATTGGTCCTCAAGCTATGTTGAAACAGATTTTACTGCAACAAACATCTAACTATATTGCATCTTGTATGTATCCAAAACTATTTTAATGGAGAATTTTTTTTTTAGGCAATCAATATTAGATTAGAAATTTGGAACTACCTCAACCAAATGCAAAAACCAATATGCAAAGTCAGAAAGTTATAATGGTTCAAAAATATAATTATTAGTCCACAACAATTTAAACTTAAAAAGGAAGGAGTTGTATTGCACTGTTAAGTCCCATATTGATAGAGAGCTGCACACTGCAAAACTAAGTCCCACATCAAGCACAAAAGGGGCTATGCTGCTGAGTTTCATATTTGAAAAGTTCACTTACTCTACTCTAGTAGAAGTCCCACATCGACAGTCCAACAAACTTCAATCTACTACTTATAAGCCATTTAGACCGAATGAACAAATGGTTTTAGAACTTTTGGTAGTTTTAGACTGGTTTTACCGGTTCACGATCCATTCTATTTTAACTGGATAACAGGCCGGATCGTCCAGTATTTGTAGAGAACTTTAGCCAACTAGGACTCTTATAATCAAAACTGCTTGCATTTTATGACACATTAACACTATTCATTGGGTGAAATAAATAAAACAAAAAGGGAATGAATATTCAAGATACAGTTTCATCCTACATAAAAAAGGGAATAAGTTTAGCATGATCATAAATCAGCAAGGTACCTCCGAAATAATTGTTCTGGTTCTTCTTCCTCTTCTTCACAATTCAAGTGATTAGCTATTGTTGTGCCTCTGTCCAAAAGAAGGCTATCATGTCTTGCAAGAACTTGCTGAAGTTGCTCGTTTAATTCAATTGCTCGAGAAACTATCCTCTCATCTCTACAAACAAGAGAAAAAACAGTTGAAGGTGCAAATTGAATATAGAATAAATGTGTCCATGTACAAATACATGAATATAAAGGAAATTTACAAGAACAAAACTTCACAAAATTATTTCCAGTCTCGAAACAAATAATCATTTAACTAATTAATTATATTAAAATAATGATTCATGAGTAACCATTTACCAATTTCATTTTTTTTAAAACATTTCTAAGAATAATTCCTTTCTAATTTTGCGTTATATTATCTATTAATTGAAAAAATAAATAACATGTTCATTTAATATTCTGCTTACCTCTTAGAAAATAACGAGCAACATGGAAAAACTTAAAGTATGTTTCTCTTAGTTCGATAGCAAAAGTTTACTGCATAAGAATTATTAAATGGTACTGCTATATGGTATTTAAAAAAATGTCAGTGAAGTATGAAACACTTGCTTCTATTTTTTTTGGTAGGAAGGAAGAATTGATTAAAAATCATAGATGGATGTTGGTTTATTCTTCATACTATCAAGCAATTTCCTTTATTAAAATGGATGAAGTATCAAAGCAAAATCTCTGAGATACCAACAGACCAAAATCAAAGACATTATAATCTATACTCTTAAACATTTTGAGTCAAGAAATGAGAAGCAGAAATTGTATATGCATTTAGCAGAATAGAAAACTATAAAGCAGAATTACCGAGAAGCCAACACAAGATGCATTACTCTTTGCTTCTGAAATGAACACTGTTCAACAAGGTCAAGGGTGAATTCATCTCTTGCTGCCTGCAAAAGAAAATTTATAGTTTCAGCTAAAGCTTGAATGTGATTATTTCCACGTTTTATGTGTGTATCTCAGAGTATTAGGATCATGAAGATAACAAATATTTAAAGAATATCATAATCATTTGTCAAAATCCCTTCTTATTGACAGCATATGCCTTGCTGTTTTTTCTAATTTGTTGTATAATCTTGAAGAAGTTCCTATTGTTTCCAATTTCCATGCTATTTTTGTTTATCATCATCAAGCAATTTCTTGAGGCTCTGAACTTCAGATCTTGTTGTCAATCTTAAAATCAGAAGCAAAACAATTTCAAGAGGCCTACTATTTTGACTGGAAATTGAGGAAGCATCATAGCAAGCATCAATGAAAAGGTAGATCAAGTATTAATCACAATGAAGAGGAAGTCATATTCTAAGAATTTGAAATCTGGTTTCAGGATGACAGGTCCTTGGCTCACCTGAGGATGTTGGGCATCAACAGCATCAAGGACTTCTTTTAAAACTTCTAATGCATTACTAGCCTTTTGAATAATGCTGCAAAACATAATTGCAGAATAAGAGATATGCTTAGATGGATAAAAAAGATGACAAGAACAAATATTTTCAGAATGATATTTCTCCACCAGCTCAGTGGAGAGGTCTCCATATCAAGAATCATCCATGTTTCTAAGTTTATTAAATAAACCAAAAGGGAACTAAGAAAAAGCATCTAATGGAAAATACATTTTCAAATTTGTCTCTTTTCATTTGTTTCATTTGATAAAAATGCTATTGTATTTGGATAAATCTTCTTATCAAAGTTTCTATCCCCAAATTAATAGTAGTAAATCCTGCTCAATACATCCAGACTATGCACTCAAAGAAGGGTTTCCAAAGATCCTGTCCACCACAAGTATACCAAAACTGAAGAGAAGAAGTCACCTAGATTCGGGAACAGTTTGGGACTCTGCTTGCTGTTGTCTGGGCAGGGCCTGCTCCCTGTTCGGTACATTGTTAATCCTACTAGGTTGAGTACGAGGACGATTTGATCGGGTCACTTGATCCCTTTGAGGAAACTGCACCCCAGCACTCTGCAAAAAGGTAAAACAAAATTTTAACGTTCGCAAATAATAAACTAGTATTGACAAAAAGTGTTTCCGTATGATCATTTGTATCATAGGTATACACACACAAAGGGAATAGGATGGCTGTCTATAATTCAGCGAGAAAATATGTAACAAAGAAATGTTTATTAGCAAAAATAGGATCAAAGACTGATACCCAACATATTTGCAGACCACCCCCGACTCTAAGGTAAAACTACCACCATTTGCTGTAAACAGAACTACATTGGATCATTCTTCAAACTTCTCATATAATCATTACAACTGCACTCCATAAACCCATAACAGAAACTACCATACCCAAATTTAGCATATGCTGTTAGCATCAACTATCCTCTTCAAATATGAACCCAAGAGTAGGGTCTGCCATATCAGCCTCTTACTCAATATTTATCTAGTAAAAAAAAACCTTATATATTTTTAAAACCATAACAGCTAAATTACTTCACTTCTTTCATGCTCTGCTAAGACAATAGTCCAGCTGCCACTTATTAAACAATCGAACAATGTAAAGGTTGTGCTTCACATATCTGTACCTACCACCAAATCATAATATGCATTATAATACTGTGGAAACTTCCCAGACGCACCACCAAGGGATGTTTGTGTGGCATCTAGTAGGAGAAATATCTTCTCCCTTACAGGCAAGTCTGACTGCATGCAGAGGAAAGTGAGAGAAGAAAAAAATTAGAGGGAGATTAAGGGAAAATTAAATTTGCTAAAGAACAATAGTCTGTGTGGAGACTGGAGAAAAACTCACTTTTTTCTTCACAATTTTCACAAGAATATCAATAATTCCCGTATCAATCACCTGCTGGTAAACACGATCTCCAATATTGTTCATCAACATTTCCAGCAACTAGAAAATAAAAAAATTATACACAAGTTAGTACAAAATCATAGTACAGGAAACCAAGTAATATAAACATTCAAGAAGAGAAAATCATAACAATCTTTTACATATCAGGTATAGTGAAAAATTTCTTGCCAAACTATCTTCATATAAGTTGTGGGTGCAGGTTAAACTATTTAGAAAATTCACATAAAAAATTATAAACAGAAAAATTCAAGAGTCATTAAACTCACCACAACGGCATAAAGTTGAATATTAGGGTTCTTGTTACTCAACCTCTTTTTTATAGCTTTAACAACATCTTTAGTTTGCCTGAATATTCAGAAAAATAAAATATGATGGTCAGCAAAAGAAAGATTGCTTGGAGCCAAGAATTATACTGCCATATTTATGATTTCAATCATGTAACAGGCCAGCTAGGCTCAGGCATCTCGGAGTAGCAGTGAACAAGAATCATGATTGATCATATCTCAAGGCATTGATCAATGAATAATGATCAATACAAGAGAAACAGCATCGTCAAGGTTTTAAATTACAGTCATGGTCACAGTTGCAGTTTTGTCATGATCAAAAAATTGCTGTAGTTGATGTGGCTGCAATTGCAGTCGCAAAATTCCAAAAACCTTGACATTTTGGCCGCAACAATGGCCAAGAACCGTTTTTCAAAACCTTGAACAACATATAAAGTAAATAAAGCTTTGTGGGGTACCTTTGATCATGTGCAACTAATTCACAGATTTCAATATTTTTCATCCAATCAGTTTCAGCCAGTTTCTCATTTGTTGCGGCATTGACCAGAGCTGCCATCTTTTTCTACATAAAATTATAAGAATTAAAAAAATATAAATATTATAAGACAATTCAGGCAAGGAAGCAAACATTGAACAAAGAGTTAAATATCAATTAAAATGAAATTATGTCCACTTTCGCTCACCAGAAACAAACGAGATCCATCTATAAAGAGACAAAATACAACCTTAAATAATAATTAATCCAAACTGAATACCACACAGAACAGTATTTGTGCCCTTGAATGAATAGCACTACGGAATATAATAAACTAAACCTTTGATTCCATACTATATTAGACTTCCACTAAGGAAATTGAAGATAATTGATCCACAAATTTCATATCATCTTCAACCATAAGACAATTAAAGTGACCTCAGAAAGAGATTAAACTCACATGTTGTGGCAGAAGCAGAAAGGTAGTGCTAAACTAAATGCCTAGCAACGAAATTCTGAACTGCTTGTATATCATAAACAACCTGCAACAGCAAAAGAAATTAAGGCGATATAATTCATAACTTAACCCAATTCCAATGTCATCTCAAAGAAATGGGCATTGATAAAAAAAATTATAATCTTTATGCCCACAACCCAAATGAACAGATCTTAATGAAGTGTATTAAGACTCATCAAAGAAGTAAGAGGAATTAAAAAAAATGATACCTTAAAAACCAAACTTACAGTGCTCATGTGACTTATGGCCAAAAGATAGAACACACTCATATACAAAAAATTATAACAACAATAACTATAATAATTAAAAAATATATTTTTACCTGGTACAAAGACAAAGATCACGAGGAGGATGCCGGGGATTCACTGATAAAGCTCTGAGAGCTTCAGCATTACAATTGCAACCCAAAACCGAAGATCAAATTTTGTTGCTGCTTTTTTCTTTCCCAGAGAGCTTTTCGTTTTCGTTAACTTTAAAGTTGGAAGCTTTTTAGCATACGACGATGAAATAGTTTACTGGGCAAGTAAGTACTTAAAGTTGGTGACAAATTGTCAGGTCCTGAAGGAGAGAGAGAGAGAAATGAATGTATGTTATGTGAAGAATTGACAAAGGTGAGAGAAGAAAGAATGAAATCTTCTAAGAGTTGAGTTTGGTTTGGATTTGGGTGTTTGTTGTTAAGGTAATTGAACAAACTTGAACACCGCCATTAGACCTGTCCCTCTCTCTACTCTCCCAAAGCATAAATCTTCTTTTCCAAGCAGAAGCTCAAATTTGTTAATCTCACCTTCCTTTTCTCTACTCCCCTATGCTTCTCCCTATTACCTGTTGACACGTATGATTCAAGTGTTTTTAATTAGAAAATCTTGATTTTTTTATACATAAAAAAATCAAGATTTTTTTTTATACATAAAAAAATCTTGAATTCTTTGATAGTGATGAGTGATACCACTTTTTGGGTTGATATCTACTCAGAGTATTATTACCTCAATCAATCATCTAATAAAATTTTATATAAAAAGGTAATTTTATTGCGGATATAGTATGCAAATAACTATATTTTTTGTATATATGATTAAGAGTTTAATTTTTGAGTTCGGATATGAGAAAACTATAAAATTTAAATATATTAAAACTCATTTAAAAGAGTTTATACACAATTTATTTAATTTTATTATATTTTATAAATGTTTCCAGAAGTATTTATAAGAACTTATAAACATCTTATAATCAAGATGGTTTTCATAACTTCTTCAATACAACCTGCAATCATGAAAAGGCTAAATATATAGGCTGTGCAATTTTTTTTTCTCTAAACTATTATTTTTTTCGTTTCTTCATCTAAATTAATATAAATATTAATTTTAACACAAGACAATTATAATTATTATGACTAATAATTTGTTATTATTTTTTAATTTTTCCTTCTTTTTTTACTAAAGAAGTATAATTTAATTAAATAACTTTCTAATTTTACATGTTACTAGTAATTTCTTTTATGTATTATTATTATTATTATTAATATTTTCCTTCTACAATAATATGCAGTGGTTGTATTTTTATAATGATTTTCTTTTTTATATATATACATTTATTTATTTATTTATTATTTTAAATATATATCATAATTTTAAGATATATAAATAAATATTTACTTATAATAAAGTTATTTTACTTAATAATTTATAGTTAATATTGAATTTGAATGATGGGATCATTAAATATGCTTGATTACTTTTTATGTTTTCGTTTCTATATTTATGGTTGATGTTGTAAGATTATGTTTATTTGAAAAGGGAAAAAGAGAATAAAGCACTAAGCAGTATGATGGAATGTGAAGTTGTCCCCTCGGACAAGTCATGGAATCAGAAAAAGACATGAAAGGGTCATTCACCTCACAACTGTCCCTTGTTACGACTTTGGTCCACGTGTCTTCTCTAGTTTTGTCTTTCATTCTCATCACTGTTTCTCTCTCCCCTTTTGTTGTTCCACCACAGCTTTGTTAATTCTCATCTTAACTCTACCTCTTCCGCATTTAAGCACATATTGTAGAAAAGTTTCTATAAAGGATCATCTAATGAATTCCATAAATTTGATACTCATCGTTTAACTTATTCCATATAATAATCGGTTAGTTTTTTTTTTTCGTCCCTGGAGTATCTACCGCCGACAGCAGTGATTAATCTCCTCGCTACGTTGGAGGCACCTCAAAGGATGGGATAACTGGCCCCAAGATTTAACGCGGCTGCATACACAAGGCAGGATTCGAACCCCTGACCTTGCTTAAGTGTGGATCAACCCCTACCGCTTAACCACACGCTTGCCACCAACAACAAGTGATTGTACATGTTTTGAAATTTTAACTCAAGTAAAACTATAAAAAAAATATTATAATTATCATGTAAATATGAATAATTATTTAAAATAAATAAATTCAATATTTAACTGTTTTAGTATAGAAGATTTTCTCAAGCTATGTTTAGTGTCAGTGATTTAATAGGGATAGGAATGGATTAGAATGAATTAGAATAGATTTGGAAAAAAAAAACATTTATATTTGATAGAATATATTTAAGGAGAATTGTAAGAAATTAAAAACAAATCCCATATTATTTTTTTTATATCCTCTTCATTAAGAGAATTGTGAAATTTGAGAGTAAAATAGTAATTATAAATACTAATTTCACTTTGTTTCCCATATAATTTCACTCTATCAAACAACTACAAATTTCACTTTATTTCTTATATTTTTTCTATCAAATCAAATTTCATTTATTTTCTCTCATTCCCTTTTATTTCTCCTCTACCCCAAACAAAAACATAAAATACCATAATCATTGTCTAGGTTTAAAACATTAACCTAACTTATCCAAAGCTTTGACATTCTCATACATACCAGAAGATTATCCTTGACATAAATCACACATTTTTTTGTCGTGATTATGTAAATGATGGTGTATAGTTATTACCATAAATAATCCTATAAATCACAAGGCGTGTCCGTTGTCCATCGTTTCGTTATTGGAAGGTAATTGGACATCGGTTGAGTGCCTTTTTAAAGTTATATGGTGGGCTTGATCAATGTCAAACTAGGAGTGCTAAGCATGAGGCTTAACCTTAGAAGTATGAAATTGACTTCCTATTAGAGAGTTGATTTGCTGGAGCCATGGTATCCCGATCAATTATGGTTGATTGGTAGAAGTTGGAATAGTACATAACCCTTCAAACTCAAGTGCTAAAAGTAATAAGATCCCTTCAAACTCAAGTGCTAAAAGTAATAAGATCGATCAGCAGAAAGTCAAGACAATACATTAAATATGTTTTTAATTTTTATAAATATATCATTTTTTATCCTTCAAATTTTATGGGTATATTTAAAAAACATTGGATTAAATATAACCTGTTATTTTTCAATCCATTAATATTTTTGTTTTTCTCTTTCTAAGTTTTAAAAAAATAAATTAGAATTTGAGGCGTGCAATTTTCAAATTAAACACACTCTTTTTTCATGTACAAATTAATTCTTGATTGTTTTATTTAAACTAGTGTGTAAATTAAGTTCATAAATTAAAAAAAATGAATCACATCCCAATGTAAGTGGCATCAATCTCTCACATCAATATCTAGACTATCTCAACCTATAACCAAGATGTGTTATCTGGGATATTATTTGATTTAGCTTATATGCACTTCATGTTACATGCCGGTAGATAAGAGAACTATCCCAACATGTAATCGAGATGTGTTATCTAAGAAGCTTTTGTAAAAAATTGTACTTCGTAATTGACTTAATTTTTGTACTTATAATAGCTCGTCATTTTTTCGACTAAAGACTCATATTGCTCACCAATAATCATTAATGACCATGATTAAGTACCAAAATACATTACCCAATAATAGAACGAAATTCACACTAAATCTCATGATTTTAGGGGCCTAAGAAGACATAATAATTGGGTATAAAGTCTTCATCATAGGATAAAGATAGGCAGAATACATTCTTTAATGTTCTAGCTTTGGACAAATGGTTAGGTTATTTGTAGTGCATTTTTCAGATCAAAACATTTTGGTGCCTACCGTGAAGTCCGATAAAACTTATCCTAGCCACACAAATCAAGAATCTTTGCTCTTCCTCTAAGCTATACATTATGCACAAGCAATGTCAATCAACAAAAAATCGATTCGAAAAAAATGTGTAAATCAGAAACAATCCATTCATCACATATCGACTCAGAATATGTGTAAGTTGAAAATAACTTAAAACGTCACGCATTAAATAGACTCGAAAAGATGTGTAAGTCAGAAACAATCCAACCATCATGCATCGACTTGGAAGATGTGTAAGTCGAAAACAACTTGACCATCATGCACAAAATTGACTCGAAAATATGTGTAAGTTGAAAATAACCTAACCATCACACATCGACTCAAAAAACGTGTAATTCAAAAACAACTTAATCTTCATGCACAAAAATCGACTTGAAAAGATGTGTAAATCAGAGACAACATAACCATCACACACAATATTGACTGAAAAAGACATGTAAGTCAAAAAGAATCCAATCATCACATACAAAATCAATTTAGAAAGACATAAATCAGAAACAACTGACCATCATGCAACAACTCGGAAGACGTGTAACTCAGAAATAACCCAACCATCATACATCGACTTAGAAGATGTATAAGTTGAAAACAACTTGACCATCATACACAAAATTAGTTCAGAAAGTTGAGTAAGTTAAAAATAACCTAATTATTACACATAAAATCGACTCGAAATCCTAATCAAATTGATCTATATAAAAATAAAAATAAAAATAAAAAATAATTATTATAAAGAATATATCTTTTATATAATGATATAAATAATGAAATAGTTAATTTAAAGTAAAAATTAAAATTAGTCACGAAATGTTTATTTTTCAGAGGCTCTTTTGAATATAAAAATAAAAATGAATATTTGAATCTAAAAGTAGAAAATAATGAAATCACTGTGAAAAAATAATACTAACATTACAACTAAAGTTTTACAACAATATTTTTTATATTTATTTTCATGATCATTAGTAATATCTTTATAATAAATCAAACGATAGAAAAAAAAAATACAAAAATGATAATAATACTACACGTTGTTGAACAGTTTATTTTTTATTAAATAACATTACTCGCAATAGTTTACCCATTAAAAGTAAAACAAACTAACAAATATTATTAGTCGTCCTCATCCGAATGGATTTTGCAAGTTGCCTCAAGGATGAATTGAATATTAAGGTTAGATGAATTGATGACATGTCAAGTTTGGATCTCTATCGCATTGTGGATTTGTTATTGAATTCCTACGTAGTTATCATTAACTCACTCGGTTCCCGTAGGTTGTCACTTGTCGTGATCCATCACAATTCACACCACACTGTCTCTGAAATTCAGAAATGGCATCTGCCACGGTTCGGAGGAGCATCATCACTTACTACTCCAAGTTTGCTTCTTATTCCTCTTTGCTCTCTCGCCATTCCTCAATCCAAAACCCTCTCTCTGCGTCTCTTTCTTCCTTTCATAGCGAAGCTGTTGCTGGTGGTGGTGGTGGATTGCCATCTTACATGCGTGGAGCTGTGCATTGGGAACCCAACAAGCCTCTAACCATCGAAGAATTTCGCATGCCTCGCCCCAAGGCCGGCGAAGTTCTCATCAAAACCAAGGGTAAGAGGGTACCCTTCTATTCTTGTGCATCCACTACGTTAATGGGAACAAGGATCTTCCCCAA